GGGGGTGGTGTCTATTCCAAGGTGGCAAGTTTCCGGGATGTTGTTTGCCTTTTTGCATCCATCGTTCAGTTTACATGTTTTGTCAGTAACACCGTACGTGTTTGTGCTGCCTCTCTGTTGCAAGTCCAATTTCAGTTATCTCGTGGTTCTTGTCGCCACTGCTTTCGGGCCTCGTTTCAGTCATTTTCTATTTATTCATCGACCATGCGGTATTGCGACGCCGACATCCACTACGCTGTGGCCTGATACTTCTTCCTGTTCTGTACTTTGTTTGCGTTGCTGTCAACATATTCGCCGTACTGTACAATGGTTCTGAGTGTAAGTCTTTTTTAAATTTCAGTTTTCAGGAAGTATTTTGACACTACGGCATAATGACGTATTTCTGAGGCGGGATACTCGTTCCAGGATTCATTTTCTGCGCACAGTGTGTAAATCATGTTGCTCACTCTGCTGGCACCTTATGAGGCTTCGCTCATTAGTGAGTGGTCACTCAAAAAAGTTAACTATTACTCGGGCGATTTCCCAAGAACTGGCGCACATACATCGAAAAGGCAGTGGTACTAACTAGGGTATGCAGCTTAGGATCAAAAGGCTTGACATTGCTGGGCCCGACAGTAACACCTTGAGAGTGTCCACACTGATTGTCCGCTCGGTCCTAGTTTGCACTGATTGGCACTTTTAGTCCACTCGATAAGAAAAAAGATCATTGTGATGGGGTCCTTCGGAATGCTCACAGCATTTCGGTTAAAAAATGTTTTTGATGAAAATTGCTTCCGTTGCAGTAATCAGTTTGCAGTTCTGGGTTTCGACAAGTTGCCACCATGGGTTATCCTATTAATAACATTTTCAACGGCATCAGTGGTTGCAGCATTTGTGCATTTCATTATGGGGCCAAGACTCAAAAAGCGTATCCTGAGTAAGTTTCACTTTGTATTCGCGAAGGCCCGTTTAACAGCGAGGTGACTCGAGCGCTGTTGTTATTCTGTTATCATACAAGTGTCATTCCCCTTCACGGTTTGTGAATCGCTTACCGTTGTCACTAATTTTTTTCGACGCTGATATCAAGTGATAGGCAACCTCAGCTCAGCGTTCAAGCTTCTCACAACAGAAGAGAGTAGGACAACAGAGTTTTACTGTTGTCGAACGCTCAGAGCTCCCCAGAAGCGATCAGTGTATAAATCGGTACATGGGTGTGCCAACAAGGACAGTCCAGAGCCAGTCCTGAACTATCGAACCGCTTTAACAAACACCATATAAACATTCTTTTTTCACCCGTCAAAGAATTAATGAAACCGCTGAAATCTTGTTAACGTATCGTTAGGAATGGAGTTTTGTAAGACAGAACTGTTCGTAGTATGAAAACTCGCCCCCCAGCAATCGCTGGTCTTATTTAATTGAAGATCGAAAGATTGACTGAGCAAAATGTGTTGATTTTTTAGTGTTCTAAAACAGTAATAAACGCAGTCTCTGCCCCTCTCATAAGTACCGCAAATCCAGTAGCTGGGACACTCACTGTAGTTTCTAAGTTCCTTCACCAACTAATTTTTTCTTGAGGTGATTGACCTGGCACACTGTTACCAAAAAAAGAAAATTTCAAGCTCTTGTTACTATCCGCTATTCTTTTGAGGCACGCACCTGTAGGGGTTCGTGCACAGTGAGAAATTTCCTATTATCAATTGTAATTTATTGCTTCCAAGTCGTGACAGTTTTGGGAAGGTGAACTTTTTGCGTGTAAATAGTATGTGCATAGTGGAAGGGACGCCTCTGTGTTTGCCTTGAGGCTACTAAAGTTGCCTGAAGCGAAAACAAAAGTGCAAGCAATAAAATTAAGGAGGCACGGAACTGAGTTGTCCCAAAATGCTAAATTCAAAACTAAAACACTAAATTTACTAATTAAGCAAAGGGTATGAAGTCAAAACTTTGCCTCCTCAGTTAGTTTTAGTACCATATTATTATGCATTTTTACGTCTTTATACAGGTGCGAAAATGTATATTGTTGAGAGATTGTCTGTGTGCGTGTCGCTGTGTGTGTCTTTGTATGTTCGTGTTTTTGTCACCTGCATTCAACTCAGCAACCACAGAAGCCAGGAAGCTGGAATTTCAAAAGATGTCCTTAGCCCACGTGCTATCCAAACAGCTTAAAACCAGCGTTCACGTTGGCCTGGCTGTAATTTTGCAATATATATGCCTCACTTACAGCCTGACAAATGTTGCTTTCGTGCTAGCTCTAATTATTTTTAATCAAACTTGTTTTAAAATGCCAGTCATCCGCCTGCTCCAAGCAACCCTCAGAAGAGGAAGGGTGATCGAGTGCAGCAACTAGGGCCGATTTTAAGTGCCCCCACATTTTAGAGGAAACTTTTTATAATGACGTTTTTGTTTTGTGTCTTGGATAGTTTTAGACGAATTGCAATTAAGTCTACCGTTATTTTTTGCTAGATCTTTTTTAGAAAATGTAGATACTGGAAGTTAGGTTAGCTTAAACGATACATTAATTGGACTGTCTTTTTCACATGCGGAATTTGATGGATCATTTTTAAAGTTTAGCAAATAGTCGAAAGCACTGAATGAATACAAAACTTGCATTAATGCAAAGAGCTGGTTGGCAAGATGGCGTTGCAAAAATTTGTAGAAGTTTTGTGGAAGCTTACTGTACTCAAAATAGACCACTGATGGCTGATCGCTCAAGACAGCCGTAGTGTGAGTTATGATAAGCAATAAGAGAGTGAAAAAGCGTATTCGAAATGTGTTTTACCAGAAGGCATCTTAGGAGCGTAACGGCGCCATCCTGTTCTTTAGTCGGGTCCAGTTTTTGTGACGAAATTTTTATTGTGGGAGCGACCAACTGATTGCTCGCTGATTTATTCGGATTGCCGTGTGCAAAAAAATGCGATAAAACTGGCTTTTCGTGGAACTCGTATAAGAGGTTATCAATGTATTTTGAAGCGCTGAGCGCCAAATGCGTGTTCTTGTTGGGAGAGCGGTAGTCGTTAGTGAAAGTACTTTGACCCGAGCGTCCTCCGTTCCGGACCGCAAGAAACCATTCGGCGAAATAACTTCAAAAAGAGTAGCGTCGGTTCACAGGTTGACGAACTGTTGAAGTATGATCTGCAGAATTGTTGAATTTTTGAAGACTCCGTTTGTCTGAGGATCATTTGGACATACGTCAACTGCTTTTTAGACGCTACAATTGATGAGAGGAAGGCATACAAAAATGATGCAGTGGAAATGAAACGTACTGCTGCAAGTTCAGCAACACTTCAAAGATGCGTTCTTGAATCGCAGAGTGAGTTGATGGTGATCTTCATGAAACTGAAACCTAACTGTCTTTTCGCCATGCACTGCCCCCGCTTCTTTCAACATTGCATTCAAAAGCTTAGTGGAATGAAGTGGATGTTCAGGATATAAAAGAAACAGAGGAGGGATTTGGGAATTGGTAAAATAGCAAAACCTCAAAAGCATCGCGCCTTGGATGGGCTTGCCAGAGTCCAGTGGCAAGGTGGGGACTTTCACAACTCAGTGAGTTCGTGGCTAGTTTCGTCCTCCACGAAATCTTGTACGCTATTACTGCTGCAAAAACAAGTTAAAATTTTGAACTGCAGTGAAGCTGCTACCATTTTGCTTTTGCACAAAATTTCGGTCAGGATTTGAACAGTATGTGCGAATTGCTGCTCGCGCAATTTGGTAGTCAGTAGTGCGGTAAATTTTCAAAAAATCGGATTAGTTTTCCGCCCATAAGTATGCTATCAGAGTCGCTGCCAGCACCAAACAATTTACAATACGTCCGCATCATGTATTTTGCAAAAAATCAAAAAGTTGAATTATGGTCTCAGTTGCCCTGTGATCTTTAATTTTTTGTAGTTTTTCTGAGTACACTATTGCATGCAAAGTTTTGCGAATTGTTTTTGCTGGTTTTCATAAAGATCAACGAAGCTAGTACAGCTAAATCAAATCTTTGCAGCGCATCA